ATATAGATTCGAATTTCTACAGCCTAGCAAGTTTTTGCTGAGACATCTACCTGTCTAGTCCCCAAGTCACAGCATCAGGCATTCTATTCAGGAAAACAAACAAACAAACAAAAACCCCTGTAATTTCTTTCTATCAAGCTGCAGTAAAAGGGATTGTTTTCTTTTCCATATTATATGTAGGACATATTGTATCCGGTTTGTTCTACTAGCTTGAATAATACAGAATATGGATAATACATGAACTACAAGGAAATGGTGGTCTCTGTGTGCTGAAAAACTGGACCTTAAAAATTGAGATTTGCTTTTGATGAAAGATGAATGATCCAAATCACTCAATTATTGGGAATTAGGTTCTGTACAAATATTAAGTTTCACCTCTCTTCAGTGATAGGAGAAAAAGTAGTATTTTCATCTTAGAAAAAGCTAGATTTTCCTAGCTGGTCAATTAACCTTGGATTGCTGACTATACATATTTTAAAGCCCACATCCTTTTGGGGTTTACAGATGGGGAGAAGTTACAATTAGCTTGTAAAATTGTGGCTTTGTATTGCCAAAAATGATCAGTTGGTTCAAATAATTTTCCAGTAGAGAAATCAAGGAAATGATTTCCTCTCAGTCGTCTGAAATGCTGCTATCTAGAAATTTCCACTGTTTATGAGTGTTTAGTTTAGAAGCAAAAGTAGTGATTTGTTAGCTCATTAAAGAATTTTATTTGTGGTAGAAAAGGTTGTCCTGTTGAATTACAAAAATTCTGAGTCTTTTTATTTGCTTACTGGAGGTGATTCCTCAGAACAAATACACACACACACACACACACACACACACACACACACACACACACACAAACACACACACACCACACACACACACACAGACAGACATGCACACACACACACACAGACACACAGACACACACACCACAATTTTTTTTTGAGAAAAATTGATAATTATTCCCAAGATACCTACAAGTATACAAATGCATAGAAAACTTTGAAAATAATTTTTAAGAACCCACAGACCCACTCACACACCTCTAAATAGATATTGGGAGGTTAAGAGAGAGCAGAGTCTCCATCTCAGAGTAGTAGATTAGCAGAGAAATCAGTGCTAAAAAAAATTGAAAATTTGCCATGTACTTTTATTCATTCAACTTGCAATTATTAAGCACCTACTGTGTGCCAAGTCCCCAGTATAAGCAAGTCAGGGAGAAGGCCTTGACCACACAGAGTTTATTTTCTGGGGATATTGATCGTTAGGTAAAACATGGTGGTCTTGACCCTCAGGATTAATTCTCGCTGGTACTTATAAATCCAACCAGGCTTTTTCTTCAGAAACCAGAGATGATTTTGATTGATTGACTTGACAGTGCATGGCACATCATATTTACTTGGGAGAGTTTAATAACCCCAGAGAGTCCCCAAGGAAACATGAAAATTTCCACATACCTTTATCCTAATGGGATCATAGGAACAGAATGTGGCCACGAGGGTTTAGAAGTCTCACAGGCAAAGGGAGGCTCTGGAAAGACCTTTGTCTCTGTTGAACCTTTCACCTACATTCACTGTGGAAAGAGAAATCAGAGCAACAGAAATCTGGAATGGGACAGGAAAATGGTCTGTGGAAATGAATGGTTTCCTGGGGAGGGGGTGTCGAGAGGGGGGATAGGCGATTTGTTTCTCCAGGAGTGTAGCATTTACAATTTAAACATACATAGAAAAAAGTGACGATTGTGGATAAAGTGTGGCAGGAAGTATTTCATATGCTTGGGAATTTTGAGAGGGAAAAGAGATAATATGGAATATTTGCTAGACGTTGTTCTTTGATTGTCCAACATCTGTCACGTTATCACCTGAGATTTTGTCAGAGATGCAAATTCGAAGGTCCCAGAGCCAGCTACTGAATCCTAAAATGCCAACCCTTGTTTCTCTGAGGCCTCTGAGGGATTCTGCTGGTTCGCGTGCCTGAGAATCACTGCTCTCAAACTGTGGACAAATCATTGCTTTGCTCTTTAGCTTACTTTTATCAAATAGATGTTCATATAGGTTGTATTGGGAGTTGCTGAACTTTATAATGTAACACATGACGTTTTATTTTGCATGTTCCTTTAAAATATTCTCATCGTTAAAGGAAGTCAGTTTTTAAAGTTAATACCTAAAATCGGATCTATCCCAAATGAGATAATTTTATATTGAACTAGGTGAGGGTAAACTGAAAAAAAAAAAAAAAACCATGTACATGATGTAACACACACACACGCGCAATGTACTGTATGTGTATGCTTTGCTTGTATGTGAAGTACATTTGTTTCCAGGTGCCTTTTCCATAATTTGTCATATTGGGTGGCTAATCTACTGTTTCCTCATTTCCAATCTTTAGGTGTGCATCAAATACAGAAGTATTAAAATAATAGAAAACTTACAATGACACCTAGGGATTCACTTCACCTTTTGGGAAGTTTATAATTTGTAGTAAAATACAGTGAAGTTTTAATCTCTGTAGGACAGAAGTTGTTTTTGATCTTAAGAAATTAGAATGCTGGGCAGTGGTGGCACACACCTTTAATCCCAGCACTCGGGAGGCAGAGCCAGGCGGATCTCTGTGAGTTCGAGGCCAGCCTGGACTACCAAGTGAGTCCCAGGAAAGGCGCAAAGCCACACAGAGAAACCCTGTCACAAAAAACCAAAAAAAAAAAAAAGAAAAAAAAATTAGAAGTGCTGGGGACAAGGAGAGGGCTCCCAGGCCTGACCACCTGAGTGTGATCTCCAGGACACACGTGGTAGATGGAGAAAACAGACTCCCGGAAGTTGTCCTCTGGCTTCCTTATGTGTGTTGTTACCCCAGCACCCCATTCTCCACCCTCAAATATGGAAATAATAAAAAAAATACAAGAGAGCTTAGATCAATAGCTTGGAATGATAGCATCCACTTATGATCCCAACTCTCTGGAGGCTGAAGCAGGAAGATTATGAACTTGATGCCAGCTTGGACTGCACATTGAGTTGGAAGCTAGCCTTGGCTAAGTAGTTGAACCCTGTGTCAAAACAACAACAACAATTAGAAGTATAGAACACATTGTGTTTTCTCACTGCTTGTCTGTTTTCTCACCTACCAGTCTGAGTTGCAAATAAATTACTTAGATGTTTGCAAAAATTCTTTTTTGTTGTTTGTATATATGGTGTGTGTATGTGTGTGTGTGTGTGTGTGTGTATTTGCACGCTTACACGTCAGGTGCGTATGTGGAGGTCAGAGAACAACTGTGTAGAGTCAGTTCTCTCCTTCCATGTTTACATGGGTCTTGGCGATCAAACTGAGGTTGTCAGGCTTATGTGGCAAGTGTCTTTAGCCACTGGGCCATCTTCACACCCCTCCCTTGATGGTGACATGAAGAATTTTCCGTTTTCTGGCTGGTATGCCCATTTGCTACAGCACATCTCAGTCCCTTCTCTGAAGGACCCCCCCAGTTCTTTGGGGGGAGGTCTTAGGGTGTGTTTGAACATGCTCAGGAGCAAAGCCGCTGTGGCTCCTCCTCAGACTCTGTCTCTGATAGCCATGGACAACTCTCTGTCCATTGCCCCAGCGTCTGGTTAAGGGCACCCCTCCAGTGCCCCTAGTGCCCTGGCCTTGCATGTCTTTGAATGACAGAAACCACTCTCTATACATTAACAGATGCTCTGTTATGGAAATGACTAATCTGCTGTGGAGGCGCTAATACTTTTAGTGGAAACAAGGAGAACCATGTACCATCTCCTTCTCCATCAAATGACGGCCTAGAAATGGCACCATTGGTGTCCCATCTCAAGCCCTTCTTACAACTTCTTCTTCTTCTTTTTTTTTTTTAAAGAATTCAGATTCTGCTTTTATGGGAGAAGTGGATCGTTCATTCCATTTCTATCTCATTCTCTGGTCCTCACTTCTTTTTCTAGTCATCTACGTACTAAATTATAAAGCTTACCCCGCCCCCCACTCACATTAATATAAAAAAGATACGGGCTGCTTGGGCAGAAGTCACTGTAGGGTCAGCTTCAGGGTCTTTGGTCCTGTGCAGTCATGCAGGACCCTGAGAAGGGTCTAAGCACTGGGTAATGCTCTCTTGAAATTTGTGATAACTTTTGAACAAGGGGCCGACCCTTCTTTTCGTTTGCTCCTGGGCTCCTGCAGGCAGGCAGCTAATCCAGACTGCTACTCCGCCTCAGCAGAGGCTCCGACTTTGAACTTCACTCGAGGGATGGTTCACCAGACAGTGTCTCCCTTTTGGATTAGTTCTTGAGATTATCATTAATGAAACAGAAATTCTCCTTAAAGCAGTTCCCAGTTTCTGGTGATGAGAGATACTGATTTATAGTACTAGCAGAGTCTACAGTATATGGGAATCCTGCAAGAGTTTACCATTACTCATTATTTTTAGATCCTACATCAAGTGTAAAATATTTTTAGTCACACCTTTTCCAGCATAAAGGCTATTAGTATATTATTTTAAAATTAAAATTTAAAGTTAGCACACAAAATAATGGGTTTTGTTATGGCATTTTCATAATATATGTTGTTACCTCTCATTTGTTCTCCTCCATCATTAGTAAGAATTTATCAGAAAACAAATTAAAGCTGGGTATGGTGGCACACATCTGAAATCCCAGCGGTTGGGAGAATGAGGCAAGATTTTGAGTTCAAGGCCAGCCGGGGCTATGTAGGGAGACCATGTTTCACTTATTACAAAGACAAATACTAAGCATGGGGCTGTGGAAAGGGAATAAGACTAATCTTTGTTTTCTAAGAGCTCAGAATAACAGATACCCAGGGCAAATATTTCTGGGGCCGGGGGTGGGATGGGGTTACTGCAGGGAGACAGAGTAGGGAAGGTCTTAAGTGTCATTTAATAGCCCTGTAGCACTATATGGAGGGGCTTGGTGCCCATGAGAAGACATCCAGGCACTGTGGCTGGGGAGACTTGCTTTTTGATTTAATTTCACCAAGTTTTTTCTTCTCCCTCCTGTGCTTTTTAGCCTCAGCGCCGCAATCAGACGAAGGCTCGGACATTGACTCTGAACCTGACCTACCGCTGAAGAGGAAGCAGCGCAGGAGTAGGACCACCTTCACGGCGGAGCAGCTGGAGGAACTGGAGCGCGCTTTCGAGAGAACCCACTACCCAGACATCTACACCAGGGAGGAGCTGGCCCAGAGGGCAAAGCTTACCGAGGCCCGAGTGCAG